TTGTGGTGTTAGTAAAGAATACTGAATATAATGGACTGCCAGAAGAATGAACAAATTTGTCTTGAAGAAGTACAGCCAGAATGCTCCTTAGACATCAGAAGTCTCACATACTTCACATGTTATCAGGAGGGAACAGTCCCTGGAGAAGGACATCACGCTTGGTAAAGTAGAGGGTCAGTGAAAAAGGAAAACCCTCAATGAGATGGATTGACATAGTGACTGCAACAATGGACTCAAATACATAAAGGATTCTGAGGATGACACAGGATTGGCAGGACTGGGCAGTGTGCTTCAATCTACTGTGCACAGGATTGTTGTATGTCAGAACCAACTGGGCAACAGCTACTAAATCGGACACATGAAATGTTATTACCGAGCTATAAGGCATACTCTAGAAAAACTTGAGGGAACATTCAAACCAAAAAAATCACTAAAATCAAACAAGAGGTGTGCATAAAGAACTTTGCAAGACCAGTTTGTTTAGGGGTAAGGTCACATGTATAAAGCCCTGTTGTTGTTGTTGTTGTTATTTGCCGTCGAGTCGGCCCCGACTCATAGCGACCCCTCCTTGGGTTTCCAAGGCAGTATCACTACGGAAGTAGGATTGCCCAACCTTCCTTCCGAGGAGTGGTTGGTGGGTTTGAACCGCCAGCCTTCTGGTTAGCAGTCAAGTGCCTTAGCCACTATGCTACCAGAGCCCCTGTATAAAGCCCTAGGCATCTGCAATTTAAAAAGGCAAACCATGAAACTGCAGATAGAGTGAAAATCTAAGTAGGAAGAAGTCAGTCAAACAAACAGAAATGAAACAAAGAAACAAAAGAACCACCTAATAACCTGAAAACAAACTAGAGTTAAGGATATGCATTTCAGAACTGAGGCCACGGAATCACAGCACAGGTAAGAGAATACGAAAATAAATACCAAATTTGTTGGCAGACCATGTTTCTACAAGTATACTGGTATGTTCTGTTAAGAATTCCCAGGTATACAGTAGAGCTGAGAAGGGACAAAGTTGGAGTCATTTCTTGGCCACAGCCAGCTACCCAGAGGGACCGAGTAGTTGGACCTGTGTGCTCAGGACCATAGTCGCAGGGACATCAAGCTCAAGTGGCCTAACATACTACACAAAACTCTGTTCCACATCCTACTTTGGTGAGTAGTGACTGGGATCTTAAAAGCTTGCAAGCAGCCATATAGATACAACGATGGGTCTCTCCTCATCCAGAGCAAAGAATGAAGAAAACCAAAGACACATGGAAATAAATAGTCCAAGCGACCGGTACACCATGCGAGCCTCAGCCTATATGACTATGAGACATGAAGTACTAGACGGTGCCTGGCTACCACTGTCAACCACTCAGAGAGGGATCTCTTGTAGGACACCATGGATAGAGTGGGAGAACAAGGTGGAACAAAACTCAAAATCATTTGGAAACAAAGGATCAGATTTCCTGGTCTGATAGAGCCCGAGCCTGATAGGGCCCATACTTGCCCTGCAGGTCTGGAATTGAACCCCACTCCTGTGGCTTTCAGCCAAACAAGACAAGCATATGAGCTGAACATTTTTACATTTGGTCAATAAACTCCCTGAAGAGATCAATGATGTGAGAAGAGAAGCAGTGTATGCACAGGAAGACAAGCTCGGGTGGGTTGGATTGCATGGGAGGGAAGGACACAGGGAACAGGTAGCTATGGGGAGGAAGGGGGATGGGAGCTGTTGCACTGTGGTAAATTTCAGTCAATGTCAGGAGACAAAGTGTATGTGAGCTGCTGTATGGAAAGTGAATTTGCTCTGTAAACTTTCACCCAAATCACACACACACACACAAAGTAAATACCAAATTTGAATGCCCCATCAAAATTATTTTCAATAAAACCAAAATACAACCTACCAATATTCTAAACTAATAGACAATTTAAGAGTACCCTGATTACTGTAAAAAAAAAAAAAAAAAAAGCTATATAATACATACCCAGATGCCCTAAAACTGACAGAGCTTCCCTGTATAAGTTTTTAAAAATTAACTGTGGATATGTGCATGGCATGCATCTTTCAAGTTTTGGAAAAAAAAAAAAAAAACTGGTGGGGGAGTAGTTGCCCAGTCACCTTAAAATATCTGCAAGAACACTTTAAGGTTCTAGTCATTTTCAGATGGCTAAAAAACTGCCTACAGGAAGCCAAGTAAAACTTAACAGAAGAATTAAAACCTCAGGCATAAAATGTAAATAAAATGATTTGTCCTTTGCCAGGACAGGTTACACCTTTGCCAGGATAGGTTACACCAAGAAGTTACATTATCCACCTGCGAGTACTCATTTATGGTAGGCTGATTTGTTTATATTTTTCTTTATTACAAATTACTGACTTAATTATTAAAACCAATCAACCAACCACAAAAAAACTCACTTAGGTAGGTCTCAAGAACCACACTTTTAATAGAGTTCCACTAAAAATAGATGGTTAAAATGAAGTGTTCTTTAGTTAACAGTATTACATCAAATTTTGTAAATGTTTTATGGTTATGTAAGATTTTAACATAAGGGAAAGATTAAAGGATATATGGGAATTTGTACTGTTTTTAAAGCTCCTCTATACATATAAAATTATAGCAAAATAAAGTTAAAAAATAAAAAAGCTCAAATTCTTAGGACATTACTTCCTTTATATTACCAAATGTGCTAAGCAAAAAAAGTAACATTTTAAGTTTTCCACGCTACATTTAGCCATTAGCCATCAGTTTAGTCACCAAAAGAATAAATTTAGACTTGATACTTTAAATGGTAAGAAAGGCATAGCATTATTTCTTGAGTAACGACTCCGTAAGTTTAACTTAAAGAAATTTTTATTATTTTCTGACAGACTTATGGAATAAAACATGTTCTACCTAACCATCACTTTATCCCTGTATGTACATAGGTTTAAACAAGTGTCATTTAGATTTGTATCCTGGCAACAAATTCATGATTCTTAGGAATATGAAAGGAAATAAAATGGTCACTATAGTAATCAGACTAAATACATAAGCTTTATTTAAAAAACAAAACAAAGAAAGATTAAAAAACCAATGCTTTGTAAATGAGATGGATAATCTACTTTGTTTTCAACTGTACATGATACATTAAGGTATTGTTTACAGAAAAACAATTCCAAGAAGGCAACATTAAAAACAAAGATATATAAATCACTACCTTGAATCAAACCAAGTACCAACATCTCCCCCCAAACAATAAACAAGCTTTCCTGTCTCTAAATGAATCCAGGTTCCTAAATCATGAAAGATAGTTTTTAAAAAATTTAAATGTAACTCTAAGTAGAAGACCACTTACGTATTTTATTTGGGTCCAAATTTTATTGCCCCAAATTTCTTGCCATCATATATTGATGTCATAACAGGAAGCTGCTGCTGGTTGCCAGATTTTTTGAGTATTTGTAATACAGCTAAACCGTTTATAACTATATCTAACAGTTATTTGTTAAGGGCAGCAGAATGAGATATACCTTAATCTTACTCTATTAACTACAACCGTATATTTAAAAAAAAAAAAAAAAACAAAAAAACCAAGAATTTCACTAATACCAGAGAAAGAAAAACAGTTAAGGGTTTGGGGAATAATAATAATCTATATAACCATAATCATGCCCAACCTTAAATTATGTCAGTTATGGCCTTCTTAATTTCTTAATTCTCTTCTTGAGCTCTGCACTGCTTCAAAAAGTAACCTGTTCTTTAGTGGACTCAATCAGCATAAATAATCTCATTCTGTGATATCTAGATTTAATACAAATAAAGTACAACACATACTCAACATTTTACCACCTAGAATTGTCAAGCTTTTCATGAAGTCCTAAAAAAATTACTCCAAAGGATTAAACTACTTTTTCTAACAGGTAATATACTCACTGCCATCAAGTTGGATCCGACTCATAGCCACCCCTACCCCTCCTTGGGTTTCCGAAGCAGTATCACTATGGAAGTAGATTACCCAATCTTCCTTCCAAGGAGTGGGTGGTGGGTTTGAACCACCAGTTTTCTGGTTAGTGGTAAAATGCTGTAAGCACTATGCCACCAGAACTCCTAACAGATAATATATTTGTTATAAAAGTAAAGCTTATATATTTAGTTTTTGACACTATAATGTATTTCCACAAGTTTTAAGTCTACAGCTTTATAGATACAGTTTTTAATTTAGGAGGCCAGATATAATTTCTTTTTATATGAAAACAAATTAAAGGTTTTAAAAGGATATAGGCTGTAAGTCAGGTACAACTTAACTTAGTCAACACCATACAAAGACCTTGAAAAGATCAAGAAAAAGATGTTTAATATTATTGCTTAGTTTTATAAAATGGTGAATTTTAACTAAATTGATAACTATATTCCTATTTACAATGCCTCCTATACTTTCAAGTATGTTATTCATGTAATTTTTTAATTCACCTAGTTGCAAATTAATTCTAATTTTAATCAATACATATATTCCCCTTTAACTACTTATACTATTGTAGTAGAATCTTTCTGGAAAACGTTAACTGTCCCAAATGGGAAAAAAACAAATGCAGAGCTTTTTCCTCTTCCTTCAAGATTTTCAAGTATTATAGGAAAAAAAAAAATCCATGGAAAATTACCAAAAATTTGACATTTTATCTTAAGAATCACGGGATAAAAGAAAGAGATGTGAACAAAAACAGATGATGTTTAATATTTCTTTGCTTATACTAAGAAATACTGTAGCTATGTTTATGAGCTATTTTCTAGCTTCTTCAAGTATAGGACATACCTGTAACTGAGGAGAAACAAACAATTAATCTCATGTAACTCAAAAAGATGGAGGGCACAGAAAGATAATCAGACTTTGGTTTCTAAGAACCTACTGTTGACCCTGAAATGCCAGACTTCAACAACAAAACAGTACAGCAGCAAATCACCACTTCAGCACACATTATTAGGAATTCTGAAATACGTTGACTTATTTTTCCCCCCTCTTCCCCCACCCCCCCCTCAGTCTATTATATCTTCCTTTTGCTTTTCTGGGTTTTTAGCTGCAGGTAGCTCAAGGCTTGCCCATTGCACAGGTTCAGCTTTTCTCATGGTAATCTCAATCTTTGTTGCAGTCATGGTTACATAGCTTCGCTTTACATCAATCACCTGCAACATATCAAAGAGATTTAAAATAAACGTAGGTAGTTTTATTAGTCTCAAATAACAATACTGATCTAGGCTTTGCTAATAATCCTAAATCCAAACTTTTTAAAGGCATTTTTACAAGAAAACTTGAACTTTTGGAAAAGATAGCTTGTCCAAGTTATATCTCCACTTTGCATCAATGCTTATGCAACTACTATCTTTTATTCTACAAAGGATAAAGGACAAAGTTCTGTTGGCCACATAATACTTACACCCCATAACTTCACATGGTGATGAAATTCTTTCTCTCCTTCAAATACAATGAGCACATTTAACTGGAAAAGCAGGGGGAGACACAAAGTCAACTGATATAATTCAAATGGAAACACTGTAAAACAATGACTATAAAAATATAAAGATATGGATAAAAATTAAGGTATTGTAAAAATGTAAGAAACTGCCAATATTTTATTTTTTCCACCTAAGAAAATCTAAAAGAGTAACTGACTTGAAGTTTCACATTAGAAGCTAAATACCATTCTATTCCTTCATAAATATTCTAAGGTACTGTATTATCTCCAAAATGCTTCAGGAAAAAAACTATTAGGCAGATCTTTTCATTTAAAATACTTCGTGTGAAAGTAATTAAAAGTTGTTTTCAAACTGAAAAATAAAGCTAATGAGTTCATGTATAAAAAAAATATTTTCCAAGTGGAAAAATCTTAAAAATGTATCTTAAAATCAGCCCAGAAAACTAGAGTAGTATTTTATAAGAATTAGCATGAAGAACAACTCAAAGGTATTTTAATATACTTACCAATGTACTGTTTGCTTCTACTCGACTAAGTTCTGGAAGTGAATTTTTAGCATATATTGAAATGGTGACTTCACCTCCTGTCTGATGCCAGTCATGCCTACAAGAAATAATTTTTTGCCCCTGTATCAAAGAGAAAGTTTACAAATTTAAAAAGTGCCAGAAAATTAAATTCTTAAAAAGAAAAATTTGATCCATGAGAAAAAATTACCATGCAGAACTGAGCACTTAAATGTTTTTACGGCAAACAACTTCTAAAGTTCTCATAAAAAGATGTAAGTAATGATACAAACATTCTAAATAGTTTTAGCAATTTATCATTGAGAACATTCTTAGTCATTGATTTTTCTGTGTCAGGGCCACAGTATTAACATTCATTAAAAAAAGACAAAAAAACTGCCACTAAATTTTATCTAAGTTTAAACGTTTTATAATTCTCTTCATGTAGAATTACCAAAGTATTCTTTAAAGACTAAAGTAAGAAAGAGATTTGCTTAGCTGGGTAAATCAAACAACTTAATCTCATACACAGGCCTTCAATTTATTTCTTACAAACCAGAATTTCAAGAAAAATAACAGACCACTTATAACTATCTGCTGTTGTTACCGAATATTTATTCTCCTCTCATAGTTACATGCACAAAAAATGTGGGGATTTGTGGATGTAATCTTTTGAATACTATTATGAAATAATTATTTTGTACCAGTAGTTATTGCTATATTGATACATTTTTTTAAAAGAGACAAACGGTGATTTCTTTTTTTAAAATGGAGGCAAATAAAGCAGATAACTGAGGAAACTGAAACACTATTAATGTAAAAAGCAGAATTCACATTTTGATAATACCATACTAATTGATTTTAAATTATATTATCATTCACATTTCTGCCCTTAGCTAGTGGCTTAGAAGGAGCTCTGGTAGCATAGTGCCTAAGGCACCTGACTGCTGACTGGAAGGCTGGTGGTTCAAACCCACCAGCCACTCCTTGGAAGTTTGGGCAATCTACTTCTGTAGTGATACTGCCTTGGAAACCCAAGGAGGGATCTTCTATGAGTTGGGTCCAACTCCACGGCACACAACAACAAAGTGGCTTAGACACTTAGTATCTGGCAACTGCATGTCTAAAGGGGCAGGGTGAGGGGGGGGGAGGACAATTCCACGAAGGGTTATATTCTGAAAACTTTTTTACTTAATAGAATACTATTTTTTTTTTTTCCGACTACTATTGCTTTTGGGGGAGCTCTGGTGGTATAGTGCCTAAGGTATATGACTGCTAACCAGAAGGCTGACGGTTCAAACCCACCAGCCACTCCTCAGAAGGAAACCTGGGCAATCTACTTCCGTAGTGATATGATCTAGGAAACCCAAGGAGGGATCATGATGAGTCAGATCTGATTCGATGGCTGTGGGTTTATTGCTTTTGGATCATGGAGAATATATATACACAAGTAGATGTCATTTTTTGCTGTATGACATTCCTGGAAATTTTGAGATGTAAGAATTATACTTGGGAGTATATCACTAATATTTAACTTCAAAAAGCAGCCCCTTGGGGTTATAATAAAGCAGCAATTACTAAATAATCAAATGTTGAATAAATGACTTTATAATCTGAAAATTTACAATTATCTTCTAAGTCAAAAACTATGTTATATATATTTATATACCAAATAGGTTCATTATATTGAAGTATTTATTTAGTGCAAATATAGCACAAAAGGCTAATACACATTAACAATTTATCACACACACACATTTTTTAGCAATGAAACTGCTTGCTGTCTTACAATTTAATGGGTTCTTGGGAATTACTTGCATAGCCCCAAGTCTTTTTAAAAACCTGTCCAAAGAGTATGAACTGATGTTTTCTTTTTTCTCTTGATAAATTTCCCCGTAGCAAACAGAAGCATTCAAGAGATTTCCAAGGAAATAAATCTGCAATCTCCTCTTTGACCACTAGATGGGGGTGTTTGTGCATCTGTAAATGGTTGAAAACCAAATGGAATGCACTGCTGTTAAGTCAGATCAAACTCAGGGACCCCTCCTTGGGTTTCCCAGCCATTATCACTACAGAATGGGTGAATGATGTTTAAATAGCCAGAAAAGTATTGGAAGTCTAAAAGTTAAATAATGTTTAATAAATAGAAAACTTTTTTTTTTTTTTAAGTGGAACTAGCAATGGAGTTAGTTTTATTAATAAAACAGACAAAGATTTTTTGGGGGAGGGAAGACTAAAGTTTTCACAAAGGCTCTGGTGGTGCAGTGGTTAAAGCACTGGGCTGCTAACCAAAAGGCTGGTGTTTCTAACTTAACAGCTGCTCTGCAGGACAAAGATGAGGCAGGCTGTTTCCTTACAGATTTACAGCCTAGGAAACCCTATGGGGCAGCGATACTGTGTCCTTACAGGGTTGCCGTGAGTTGGAAATAACTCTACTGCAGTGAGTTTTAGTTTTGGTAAGTATTTCACAAAACCCTACTGTAACAACACACACAATGGCAATCTTGCTAAAAGGGCAACACTGGGACTAGTATTAATTTTTGATTTTAGGGATATCAGAGCTTTATTATTTGAGAGGTAACAATTTTTTTTTTTTTTTTAATCTGAAGAGAGAATGACCTCAAAATGTTTTTTAAAATGACTTAAATAAGTATAATCAGGTGTGTTATTTTGAAAAGGCTACTTACGGCATCCTTTTTGGTCCACACATGTTTCCCTGTTGTACAGCCCTCTTGAGCTAAAAATGTATTAAAATCAGAAGTTTTTCTTCTACAACAACTCCAGTATTTCATCCTTTAATTGTAATAGAAAAATATTTCAGAAATTAAATCCCACAACCAATTAAGTCCTTAAGTGTTACATGGTAAGTGTGATTTTAAAAGTGTCCAAGTTTAGATTCTTACTAGTTTTCATGCTACTATGGAGTTAAAACTAGATATATTTCAGGGAAGACTTAATTTTAAGATCAGATTGCCATTTACTGTAACAATTTTGGTGCTCTCAAGTAAAGATACTTAAAATAATCACAAAATTCTAAATTGGCTTCAGTGATAGCTCTCATCCTCATTTCATAATGAAGCTACCAAATGGGAAGAGCATCAGTAATACTGAAAAATTTTCACATTTTAATGACCCCAGCGAAGTGAGAGGAGCTCTGGTAGTGTAGTGCCTAAGGCACTTGATTGCTAACCAGAAGGCTGGTGGTTCAAATCCACCAGCCACTCCTCGGAAGGAAGGTTGGGCAATCTACTGTAGTGACACTGCTTTGGAAACTCAAGTAGGGATCACTATGAGTCGGGTCCGACTCAACAGCACATAACAACAGTGAAGTGAGAACATGCAAATCATTTAAAACTACTGTTTTATACAACCTTTGATGCCTACTCCAAGTAGGTAAAATCCACTATTACTTACATGAGAAAATTTCAACAGAGGAAGAAAAAAATTATGGCAAAACTTGGTTTGAGTCCCAAAGAATACTGAAAGCAGAGTGGAAGATTTTAATGCAGTACCATTTTGTTATTGTTGTTAGATGCCGTTGTCTTGTCTCCAACTCATAGTGACCCTATATACAACAGAACCAAACACTGCCTCGTCATGTGCCAGTCTCACAATCCTTGTTATACCTGAGGCTATCGTTGCAGCCACTGTGTCAATCCATCTTGTTGAAGGCCTCCCCCTTCTTCACGAACCCACCACTTTACCAAGAATGATATCCTTCTCCAGGGATGGTCCCTTCTGACAACATCACCAAAGTACGTGAGATGAAGTCTGGCCATTCTTGCTTCCAAGGAGCATTCCGGCTGCACTTCTTTCAGGACAGATCTGTTCATTCTTCTGGCAGTCTATGGTACTTTCAGCACTGTTGACAAACACAACTCAAAAGCATCAACTCTTCTTTGGTCTTCCTTATTAATTGTCCAGCTCTAACCATGCATATGACATGACTGAAAATAGCATGGCTTGGGTTAGGTGCACCTTAGTCTTCACAGAGAAATCTCTGCTCTTCAGCACTTGAAAGAGATCTTTGCAGCAGATTTGCCCAGTGTAATACGTTGTCTGATATCCTGACTGCTCCTTCCACTGGTGTTGATTGTGGAATCAAGTAATATGAAATCTTTGACAACTTCAATCTTTTCTCCATTTATTGTAATGCTGCTTATTGGTCCAATTATGAGGATTTTCATTTTCATTATGTTGAGATATAATCCATACTGCAGACTGTAGTCTAATGTTCATCAGTAAGTGTTTCAAGAAATCCTTACTTTCAGCAAGCAAAGCTGTGTCATCTGTGTATTACAGGTTGTTAATGAGTCTCCCCCAATGCCGATGCCACATTTTTTCATAAAGTCTAGTTTCTCGGATTATTTGCTCAGCATACCGGTTAAATAAGTACGGTAAAAGGATACAACCCTGATGCACACCCTTCCTGATTTTAAACCATGCAGTATCCCCTTGTTCTGTTCAAATGACACCCTCCTGGTCTATGTACAGGTTCCTCATGAGCACAATTAAGTGTTCTGGAATTCCTATTCTTCTCAATGTTATCCATAATTTGCTATGACCCACAGAGGTGAAGGGGCAATCCTACTTCCATAGTGATACTGCCTCGGAAACCCAAGGAGGGGTCGCTATGAGTCGGGGCTGACTCGACAGCACATAACAACAACAACAACACAGAGGTGAATGCCTTTGCATAGTCAATAAAACACAAGTAAACATCTTTCCGGTATTCTTTGCTCCCAGCCAAGATCCATCCGACATAAATAATGATGATCCCCATTTCACATCCTCTTCTGAATCCAGCCAGCAATTCTGGAACTTTTCTGTCAATATACTGCTGCAACCGTTTTTTGAGTTATCTTCAGTAAGGTTTTACTTCCGTGTGGTATTAATGATATTGCTCAATTATTTCCACATTCTGTGGGATCACCTGTCTTTGGAGTGGGTACAAATACGGATCTCTTCTAGTTAGTTGGCCAGGCAGCTGTCTTCCAAATCTCTTGGCATAGACGAGTGAGTGCCAACAGCACAGCATCCATTTGTTGAAACATCTCAATGGGTATTGGGTGAATTCCAAGAGCCCTGTTCTTCACCAATTCCTTCAGTGCTGCTTCAACTTTTTCCTTCAGTACCACTGGTTCTTGATCATATGCCACCTTTGAAACAGATGATCAATGACCAATTCTGTTTGGCAAAGTGACTCTGTGTATTCCTTCCATGTTTCCTGCACCATTCAATATACTGGCCCATAGAATCTTTCAATATTGCAACTTGAGGCTTGAATTTTTTCTTCAGTTCTTTCAGCTTGAGAAATGCTGAGCACTTTCTTCCCTTTTAGTTTCCTAATTCCAGATCTTTGCACATTTCATTATAATAATGAACTTTATTTTTCAAGCTGCTATTTGAAATCTTCTGTTCAACTCTTTTATAATTTCTTCCATTTGCTTTAACTACTCTCCATTCAAGGGCAAGTTTCAGAGTGTTTTCTGACATCCATTTTGGTCTTTTCTACCTTTCCTATCTTTTTAGTGACCTTTTGTTTTCTTCGTGGATGATGTTCTTGATGTCATTCCACAAATCCTCTGGTTTTCTGTCACTGCTGTTCAATACATCAAATCTACTCTTTAGATGGTCTCTAAATTCAGGAGGGATATCATCAAGGTCGTATTTTGGTGCCCATGTCTTCAGCTTGAAGTTGAACTTGCATATGAGCAGTTGATGGTCTGTTCCAGGCAGTTTATGGCTTTGTTTTGCCTAAAGATATTGAGCTTCTCTATCGCCTCTTTCCACTGATGTAGCTGAACTGATTCCTGTGTACTCCATCTGGCAAAGTCCATGTGTGTACCTGCTATTTATGTTGTTGAAAAAAGGTATTTGCAATGGGTAAGTTGTTATTGTTGTTGTTAGGTGCCGTCATTTCTGACTTATAGCGACCCCATGCACAGCAGAACGAAACACCGGCCAATCCCCCGCCAGCTCCATGGTCCTTGCTGTACTTGAGCCCACAGTTTCAGCCACTGCGTCAGTCTGTCTCATTGAAGGCCTTCTCCTCTTTTGTCGACCCTCCACCTTACCAAGCATGACATCCTTCTCCAGGGAATGGTCCCTTCTGACATGACCAAAGTAGGTGAGATGAAGTCTGGACATTCTCGCTTCCAAACAGCATTTTGGCTGCACTTCTTCCAGGACAGATGTTAGTTCTTTTAGCAGTCCATGGTACTTTCAGCAATCTTCACCAGCACCACAACTCAAAAGCATCAACTCTTCTTCGGTCTTCCTTATTCATTGTCCAGCTCTCACATGCGTATGAGGTGATTAGAAATATCATGGCCTGTTTCAGGTGCACCTTAGTCCTCTAGGAGACATCCTTGCTCCTCAGCACTTGCAAGTGCTGCTTTGCAGACAACTTGCCCAGTGCTATATGTCGTCTGATATCCTGACTGCTGCTTCCATGGACGTCAATTGTAGAACCAATGTGAATTCTTTGACAACCTCAATCTTCTCTCCATTTATTGTGATGCTGCTCATTGGTCCAGTTGTGAGGATTTTTGTCTTCTTTATATTGAGATGTAACCCATACTGCAGACTGTATTCTATCTTCATCAGTAAATGCCTAAGTCATCCTCACATTCAGCAACCAAAGTTGTCTTGTCAGTGTACCTCAGGTTGTTAATGATTCTTCCTCCAATCCTGATGCCATGTTTTTCTTCATATAGTCTAGCTTCTTGGATTATGTGCTCAGCATATAGATTGAATAAGCATAAGGAAAGGATGTAACACTGACACACTCCCTACTTGATTTTAAACCATGCAATGTCCCCTTGTTCTATTTGAACAGCAGCCCCCTCATTTATGTACAAGTTCCTCATGAGTACAATCAAGTATACAGGAATTCCCATTCTTCTCAATGTTATCCACAATTTGTCATGTCTTTGCATAGTCAATAAAACACAAGTAAACATCTTTCTGGTAGTCTTTGCCTTGACCCAAGATCCATCTGACAGCAGCTATGACATCCCTTGTTCCATGTCCTCTTCTGAATCCAGCTTGCACCTCTGGAAGCTGTCAATATACTGCCACAACCATTTTTGAATTATCTTCAGTACAATCGTACTTGCATGCAATATTAATGATAATGTTCAATAATTTTCACATTCTGTGGGATCACCTTTCTTTGGAATGGGTACAAATATGGATCTCTTCCAGTCAGTTGGCCAAGTAGCTGTCTTCCAAATCTCTTGGCATAACCAAGTAAGTGCCTCCAGTAGGGCATCCGTTTGTTGAAGTATCTCAATGGGTATTCCGTGAATTCCTGGAGCCTTGTTCATCATCAATTCCTTCACTGCAGCTTTGACTTCCTTCTTTAATACCATTGGTTCTAGATCATATGCCACTTCTTGAAACGGATGAAGACCGACCAGTTCTTTTTGGTATAGTGACTCTGTATATTCTTTCCATCTTCTTTTGATGTTTCTTGCATCATTCAATATTTCGCCCATAGAATCTTTCAATATTAAAACTCGAGGCTTAAATGTTTTCCTTAGTTCTTTTAGCTTGAGAAATGCCAAGCATGTTCTTCCCTTGTAGTTTTCTAACTCCAAATCTTTGCATATTTCATTGTAGTAATTGGCTTTGTCTTCTCAAGCTGCTCTTTGAAATCCTCGGTTCAGCTATTTTATCTTGTTATTCCTTCCATTTGCTTTAGCTACTCTCCACTCAAGGGCAAGTTTCAGAGTCTCTTCTGTCATCCATTTTGGTCTTCTCTTCTTTTCTGGTCTTTTTAGTGACCTCTTTCTTCATGGATGATGTTCTTGATGTCATCTTGCAATTCTTCTAGTTTTTGGTCACTGTGTTCAGTGCATCAAATAAATTCTCTAGATGGTCTGTAAATTCAGGAGATATATATTATAGATCATATTTTGCCTCTGGTGGACTTGTTTTAATTGTCTTTAATTTCAAGTTGAACTTGCTATGAGCAGTTGATGGTTTCTTCCACAATCAGCTCCTGGCCTGGTTTTGGCTGAATATACTAAGTTTTTCCATCACCTCTTGCCACAGATGTAGTCAATCTGATTCCTGTGTGTTCCATCTGACAAAGTCCACATGTACAGCCACCGTTTGTGTTGTTGAAAAAAAGTATTTATAATGAATAAGTTGTTGGTCTTGTAAAATTCTACCATGTGATTTCCAGCATTATTTATCACCAAGGCCAAATTTTCCAACTACCGGTGATTCCTCTTTGTTTCCAACTTTTGCTTTCCAGTCACCACTGATAATAAACACATCCTGATTTCATGTTTGGTCAATTTCAGACTGCAGAAGTTGATAAAACTCTTCAATTTCCTAATCTTTGGCCTTGGTGGTTGGTGCATGAATTTGACTAATAGTAGTATTAATGGGTCTTCCTTGTAGGCTTATGGATATTATCCTTCACTGATAGCACTGTACTTCAGGACGTATCTTGAAACATCCTTTGTAATTATGAATGCCACGCCATTCCTCTTCAATTTGTCATTTCTGACACAGTAGATCATATAGTTGTCTGATTCAAAATGTCCAAGACCAGTCCATTTCAGCTCACTAATGCCTAGGATATCAATTTCTATACACATTTCATTTTTGACAACTTCCAATTTTCCTAGATTCTTACTTCATACAGTGCAAGATACACTTATTAATGGATGTTTACCACTGTTTCTTCTCAGATTGAGTCGTGCCACATTAGCAAATGGAGGTCCTAAAAGCTTTACTCCATCCACGTCATTAAGGTTGGCTCTACTCTGAGGAGGCAGGTTTTCTGTGAGTGCCTTCTGACTGAGGGCCTCATCTTGTGGCACTATATTGGATAGTATTTCAGGGTATAAAGTTTTCCAGTGACAGTGTTTCACTGCTATTCGTAAGGTTTCACTGGCCAATTTTTTGAGAAGTGGACAGCCTCTTCCTTCTTCAGAGTCTGTCTTAGACTAGAAGCTCCACTGAAAGCTGTCCATCATTGGTGACCCTGCTGGTATCTGAAATACAGACAGCAAAGCCTCTAGCCTCAGAGTAACACGCAAGCCACCACAATACAACAAACTGATAGGTGAGTAGTGGTTATGAAGTAAAGCATAACAATTGAGTGCTTCTCAACTGGGGGCTGTGGATAACTATGGGCCTTCTTAAAATTTAGAATGCGTCTTTGTGACCCAGGCTAAAAAAAAACCTCTAAATTCCCAGCAGTGTGAAGATAGACTGAACAAAACAGAAACCCAAAAAGCTATTCAGCCCAAATACAAAGAACATACTGAAATATATGGGTAATAACGAAAAGTATGTGGTTTAAATAACAATGCTCACTTAATAGCTGTAACCTTATTTCAATTTTTTCATGTATAAAAAGAGGGCAAAATCCACATTTCTATGTTACTATGACCGGGAGCTCTGGTAGCATAGTGGCTAAGACACTTGCCTGCTAACCAGACGGCTGGCGGTTCAAACCCACCAGCCACTCCTCGGAAGGAAGGTTGGGCAATCCTACTTCCATAGTGATACTGCCTCAGAAACCCAAGGAGGGGTCGCTATGAGTTGGGTTTGACTCGATGGCACATAACAACAACAACAACATGTTACTATGAAGAATGAATGATAATGTAGTAAATAAAATGCTTAATAATACTGCATAATAAATTTAAAAAAGGAATATTAACATTTTTAATCTGTACCATAAGGTGTTTTACTCAGTTATGCTTACCCTTCATGGAAAATAGGTACTCCAGAATGATATACACAGATTTCTTCTACACTCTCTAGACCCTGGTATGTCTAAAAAAAAAGAAGAGGAAAAAACTTAGCCACGTATTTCAATATTACACCTTGTATGTGTTTGTAGTACTGATGACTTCTATGAAGCAGGCAAAATGCTCGAGAAAGAACAATTAAATCATAAATGTACCACAGGCTGTTCTTCAACGTACTGAAAATTTATTGACTTTCAAACATGGTTAAATTTCAGGTGCATGTGAAAGAAAATTAGAAAAGTAGGCAATAAGCTGTTTTAAAATGCTTTCAACTATTTCAATATGAGGTCCAAGCCAAGTATATTCAGGTTCTCAGGTTTACAGAAATATGTTGAAAAAAGCAATTATAATCCTCAACAGAAATAAAATTACAGCTTGGTTTAGGGGTATAATATTCTCTGTATGGGGATTATAAATTAATATGCAAAATACAATATTTCTACAAGTTCTACAGTGATGATTTCTCATTCCTAACAAAAAGTAAAATGAATTGCAGACTGCAGACCTGTCAGGGTCTGTCTGTAAGACCCACGCTGCACTGCTGCTTGTAGTGAAGGTAAAGGCTCTACAGAAGAATTCATATAAAGGTAGGATAATAACACATGGATGTGGCTAGCTGTGTATTTTCTATTTTGGTAGTTAAAAACAGCACCTACAAGTACTAAAAATAAAATTCTGTATGTTTACTTTTTACAAACCCAAAGTAGTAAGTGTACGTATACCCCTAGGTGGAACAAATGATCTGCACTGTACTGTGAACTTAAAAGGTTGAACCATCCAGGAGGACTGAAAAGGCCTTGTGATCTCCTCCATTAAGATCACGGTCAAGTAAACCCTATGAAGAAGTTTTACTCTGTAACACACAAGGTCACTGCGGTGTAGTAAGTTACATAATGTGGCTTTTCTAGCCATCAGTCCTTGTAAACTCCATAGCAGAATTTGCCTTGAGCAACTGAGTGGTTCCTGATTGTTAAAGTTATCCAGCTGGGGTACTTGGGAGCAGCACAGTGATTTTCTGGCTACTTCAAGCTCTCTCTCAGGTACATGGAATTCTGATGTTGACACTGGTTAGTTTGGCCACTCTGCCAGGCTCAAAAGCAGCCATCCTAGAGGCAGAAGAAATCTCTCACTGCTGACTGAGAGATATAAGAGACACACATGGCTGAGAGAAAGCAATACACACACCCTGCTGAGACGCAAGAGACACACACTGCTGAGACACACCAAGAGACATGTACTGCTGGGAAAGGGCTGGAGAGAGGCAGCACGTCTGGCCTTGCAGGAACAGTCCCTGTACTACAGATGGTGATTCTGTCCTCCTTTTGTAGGGTTAGGAGGTCAGAAGATGGGGCCCCCCTGTCCCTATGGAAGTTGCCATGAGTGGGAATCAACGTGACAGCAACCAACAACAAAGATTTATCTTCTAAAGATATTCCACAAGCACATAAAACTCAGTTACATTCTGAACTCATCACTATTTACCCGTCAAAACTTTTATGATGGCACCAAATCCACTCAGTTTCCCAAAGCAAAATACTTTTAAGTCCCCTTCAGTTTCTCTTCTTCCACCTACATATAGTTTACTATGAAATCTCATCAATTTGTCCTGAAAATATCAGTTTAATTTGGAAAAATTCCTCATAATCACAGGCAGACTTTAGGCAGACTATAATAATGGGGTAGCAATCTACTTCCGTAGTGATGCTGCCTTGGAAACCCAAGGAGTGGTCACTATGAGTCAGGTCTAACTCGACGGCACATAACAACAACAACAATTAATTCACCAGCCTTCAGATTCTGTTCTCTACTATCTAAATAATTTCTACTTTAGTATTCATAACCACCACATGCAAGTACAGAAAATAAAATTGTTTACTTTTTACAAATCTAAAGTAGTAGGTGCACGTATGCTCCTAGGTAGAAAAATTATTTTGTGCTCAACTGCAAACCTAAAGGTTGTGGTGTGAACTCACCCACCAAAACTGAGTAAAAGGCCTCACTCTCTTGTCTAAATTCTTTTTATTATTATTACTATTATTTTATTGTGAGCTGGGTGAAAGTTTACAGATCAAATTCACTTTCCATACAGCAGTTCACATACACTTTGTCTCGTGACATTGACAATTTACCCCAATGCAACAGCTCCCCTCCCACTTCCTCCTGATAGTTACTCTCCTGTGTCCATCCCTCCATGCACTAGTGCCCCCTGAGCTGTCTCCCTGTGCATAAGGTATATAGCTCTTCTTTCTCCCATGACTGTTCTCTCCAAAGAGTGTATCTACCTCAGGTAAACATTCAACTCATATGCCTGTCTTTTGTTTGGCTGGAAACCACAGGTGTGGGTTCAATTTTAGACATGAAGGGCAGCTAGGGGTCATAGTCTCAGTGGTTTCATTCACCAGGCTCTTATCAGACGAGCAAACCTGGTCCACCCCCCCCTTTTTAAATTTTTTTTTCCCAAATGATTTTGAGTTTTGTTCCACATTCTTCTCCCCCTCTATCCAGGATCTCCTACAGATCCCATCCGAGTGGTTGACAGTGGTACCTGGAGATCATCTAGTTCTTCTGGTCTCATATAGGCTGAGGATCGCATGGTGTACCAGTCCCTAGGACTAATTCTTTCATTGAATCTTTGGTTTTCTTCATTCTTCTTTGCTCTGGATGAGGAGACACCCAACACTGCATCTAGATGGCTGCTTGCAAGCTTTTAAGATCCCAGTAGCACTCACCAAAGTAGGAGGTGGAACAATGTTTTGTGTAGTATGTCATGCCAAGTGACTTTGATATCCCCTGTAACTATGGTCCTGAGCCCACCGGTTCAACTACTTGCTCCCTCTGGGTACGTGGCTGTGACCAAGAAGTGACTAAAATCTTGTCCCTTGTCAGCTCTACTATACATGTGGGAATTCGTACAGATCATACAAATACACTTATAGGACCATTTCCTGCCAACCCTATACATGGTTGTGGGTACGGTCCCTGCTACCTAGACGTAACTAATAGTTCAGCCTGTCCACCTATCTATCCACCCATATACCCATGTTTGCCTTCACTGACAATGCAGTACTGTTGTCTTTATTGTCTCTAACTCCCATGTCCCTCTTTATGTCTTCCTCTTCTTCAATGAGACCACGTTGATCACTCACATTTGGTACATTGCCCTTCTCTTCACCCAAATCAATACTTAGAGGTCTCTACCTATCTAACAGTGTCCCTTTACTCCACCCCTGATAACCAACAAAGAAAATTTCCTTCCATAGATAAAACTTTTCTTGACTTTTACAAAAACGGACAAATACAATATTTGTCCTGTGATTGACTTATTTCACTCAGCATAATGTCCTCCAAATTTATCCATGTTATGTGGTGTTTTGCAGATTCTGTTATTCGTTAGGATTGCATAGTATCCACTGTGTGTATGCACCACAGTTTGCTATCCATTCCTCAGCTGATGGACACCTAGGTTGTTTCCATCTTTTGGCTATTATAAATAGTGCTGTGATGAACATGGGCGTGCATATATGTCTGTTCTTGTCATGCCGCTCACTTCTTTAGGATATATAACCTAATAATGGAATAGCTGGATCAAATGGTACTTCTAATTCCAACTTTTTAAGGAATCGCCATCTGCTTTCCACAGTGGTTGTACCATTTTACAGTCCCACCAGCAGTGTTTGAGAGTCACAATCTCTCCACATTCTCGCCAGCATTTGTTATTTTCTGTCTTGCTGAGCTTTCCTACTAGTGCTGGGGCAAGATGGTATCTCACTGTTGTTTTGATTTGCATCTCTCTAATGGCTAATGATCATGAGCATTTCTTCACGTTAGTTGGCTGCCTGAATATCCTCCCTGGTGAAGTGTCTATTCATGTCTTCTGTCCATTTTTAAATTGGATTATTTGTCTGTTACTGAGGTGTTGGAGTTTTCTGTAAATTCTAGAGATAAGCCCTTGTCAGATATGTCATTGCCAAATATTTTTTCTCAATCTGTGGGTTTTCTTTTGACTCTTTTGGAGAAGTCTTTGGAAGCACATAGAAATTTATTTTAAAAAGGTCCCATTCACCTAATTTCCCTTCTGCCGCTTGTGCATTCTGGGTTATGGTTGATAGTCTACTTATGTCATATATTAGGGCCCCTATATTTGCCCCTAGTTATTCCTCAGGAACTTTATATAGTTTTAAGTTTCACATTTAAGTCTTAGATCAATCTGGAGTTAGTTTTTGTGTATGGTGTGAGGTACAGATCTTATTTCATTTTTCTGCAAATGGATATCCAGTTTTGCCAGCATCATTTATTAAACAAACATTCTCTTCCCCATTTAATGGATTTCGGCACTTTGTCAAAGATGGATCTATTTCTGGGTTCTCAATTCTATTCCATTGGTCTATGTGTCTCTCGTACCAATACCAGGAAGTTTTGAGTACTGTGGCTATACAGTACGTTTTGAGATCCGGCAGTGTGAGACCTCTGTCCATTGGTTCTTATTCTTCTTCAATAGTGCTTTGCTTATCCAAGGTCTCTTTTCCCTTCCATATAAAGTTAGTGATTGGTTTTTCCATATCCTGAAAACATGTTGATGGGATCTGGATTGGGATTGCATTGAATGTATACATTGCTTTGGTTAAAATTGAGATCTTCACAATGTTCAATCTTCCTAGCCACGAGCATGGTATGTTTTTGCATTTATGTAGATCTCTATGGTTTCTTGAAGTAGTCTTTTATACTTTTCTTTGTACAGGTAAGACTTATTCCCAAGTATTTTCTTTTTCTTTGGGTAGCTATTGTAAATGGTATTGATTTCCTTATTTCTATTTCAGCAATTTCTTTGCTGGTGTAGAGGAATCCAACTGACTTTTGGATGTTGATCTTGTATCCTGTCACAATGCTAAATCTCTCAATTAGTTCCAGTAGATTTTTGACTGAGTTTCTTGAGTTTTCTAGGTATAGGATCATATAATCAGCAAATAGGGATAATTCAACTTCTTCCTTGCCAATTTAGATCCCTTTGATTTCCCTTTCTTGCCT